CAGTGGGTTAAAGCCTCTGCCTTTGGCTCAGGTCATGATCCCAGGGTCCTGGGATCGAGCCCCGCATCAGGCTCTCTGCTCAGCAGGGAGCCTGCTTCCCTTCCTCTCTCTGCCTGCCTCTTTGCCTACCTGTGATCTCTGTCTGTCAAATAAATAAATAAAATCTTAAAAAAAAAAAAAAGAGTTCTGATAGTTTGTATGTTTCTAGTACTCTGTCCATACTTATCTAGGTATAATCTAGTTTGTTGGCATAAAATTCTTCATAGTATTCTCTTATAATCCTTTTCATTTCTGTAAGTAGGTAGTAATGTCCCCACTTGCATTTCTGATTTTAGTTATTTTGCTTCTCTTTCTTTTGTCCTGGTCTAGCTAAAGGTTTCTCATTTTTGCTGTACTTTTCAAAGAATGAACTTTTTGCTTTATTGATTCTCTCTTTTGTTTTTCTATTTTCCATTTCATTTATTGCTGTATTAACTTTCATTATTTCCTTATTTTACTACCTTTGGTTTTTGTTTTGTTTGCTTTTCTAATTCGAACACCAGTTTTTAGGAAACTGATATGAGATCTTTCTTCTGTTTAAATTTTGGTGTTTATATTTTTAAGTTTCCCTCTAAGCACTGCTTTTGGAGCACTGCATACATTTTGGTAAATTCTGTTTTTGCTTTCATTTATCTCAAAGTATTTTCTAACTTCTCTTGTGATTTCTTCTCCAATCCATTGGTGATTTACTTTCCACATATTTGTCATCTTTTAGTTATCCTTCTGTTATTGATGGATAGTTTCATTCTAATGTAATCAGAACAGATACTTGGTATGATTTTAATCTTTTTAAAATTTAAGATTCATTTTATTACCTAACATATGGTTTAGATGGTCTGTTCTGGAGACTATTTGATTTGCACTTGAGAAGACTATTAATTCTGCTGCTCTTGAGTGGAATGTTCTGTAAATATCTTTGGTCTAACTGGTTTATAGCATTAAGTCCTCTTTCTTCACTAACCTTCTGTCTAAATGTTCTATCCATTATTGAAATGGCAGTACTGAAGTCACCCAACTATTATTATTATTATTTAATTTAACCATTTTTAGCATTAAAAATGATTTATTTATTTGAGAGAGAGTGAGAGGAAAGCAGGGGGGAGGCACAGAGGGAGAGGAGAGAACCTCAAACAGACTTCCTGCTGAGCACAAAGCCGGATGCAGGGTTCCATCTCATCACCCATGAGATCATGACCTAAGCCAAAAGCAGTTGGATGCTTAACCAACTGAGCCACCCAGGCACCCATCTCCCAACTATTATTGAAGAACCATTTCTCACTTCAATTCTGTCAATGTTTCCTTCATATACTTTGGGGTCTGTCATTTGGTATATATTTATGGTGGTTATATCTTCTTGATGAACTGGCCCTTTTATCCATATACAATGGCTTGGTCTTGTGTAACAATTTCTTAGAAAAATCTATTTTTCTGATATTAGTAAAATCACCTCACCTCTCTTTTGGTTAATATTTGTACACTTTCATTTTCAACATACTTGTGTCTCTGGATCTAAAGTAAGTCTCTTGTAGACAAAAAGTTGGATCATATTTCTTCCCCTTTAATTCTCTTTTTAACTGGTGAGTTTAACTCACTTGAAAGTGACTGCTGATAAGAAAGGATCTGCTTTGGCCATGTTGTAATTTGTTTTCTATATGTCTTACATATTTTTTATCCCTTGAATCCTCCAATCTTGCCCTCTTGTGTTTAATTTTTTTCTAGTGTACCATTCCTATTTCCTCCTCATTTCCTTTTCTGTATATTTCAAAGTTATTTTCTTAGTGGTTAACTCAGGGATTATAACCAACATCTTAAATTGAAAACAATGTAGTTTGCTTCAACATTAATATACTTATAACTGTTATTTTATGAATTTGTGTTTTAAATCATAAATGAAGCCAAAGGGAGTTACAAACAAAAAATAAAGCAATACTGGCTTTTATATTTCCTTGCGTAGTTACCTTTACTGGTCTTTATTATTATCATTTTTTTTAAGATTTTATTTATTTATTTGACAGAGAGAGATCACAAGTAGGCAGAGAGGCGGGCAGAGAAAGAGGGTGAAGCAGGCTCCCTGCTGAGAGCCCGATGCGGGGTTCGATCCCAGGATCCTGGGATCATGCCCTAAGCCAAAGGCAGAGGCTTTAACCCACTGGGCCATCCAGGAGCCGCATGGTCTTTATTATTTTTTAATTTCTTTGTATGGCATCAAGTTACTATCTAGCATCCTTTCATTTTAGCCTAAAGACCTCTATTTAGCATTTCTTGTATGGAAGGACCACAAGCAAGAAACTTTCTCCACTTTTGATTATCTGGAAATGTCTTAATTTCTCTTTCTTAGACTCCCATTAAACATCTGTTGGTATACTTGATGGTGTATCTTATGTATCTTAGGTTATGTTCATTTTTATTCATTCTTTTTGAATTCTGCTCCTCTGACTGGACAGTATCAATTAATCTAAGTTCTGTGATTAATCTATCTCCCTGTTCAAAATCTACTATTGAACGGTTCCAGTGAATTCTTCTATTTCAGCTACTATTCTTTTCTTTTTTTTTTTTCAGGTACTATACTTTTCAAGCTCAAGAATTCTTATTTGGTTCCTGTTTTATGATTTCTATTCCTTAATGGGTATTCTCTATTAAACACATTGTTTACCTTGTTTCCTACAGTTCTTTGTCAACGGTTTCATCTAGTTCTTTGAGCATATTTAAGGCAGTTGATTTTAAGTCTTTGATTAGTAAATGCAATGCTTGGGCTTCCTCAGGGATAGTTTCTGTTAATTTCTTTTTCTTTCTGTTGATGGGTCATTTATTCCTGATTATTGGTATGTCATACAATTTATTAAAACTGGACATTTGAATATTACAATGTGATCATTAAAACCAATTCTCCCTATTTCCCATTGTTTGATTTATATACCTTGTTAAGGACTACAGTCATCAGTGTTCAGTAATTTTTTTCCAAAATATTTTTGCAAAGATTGTTTTCTCTGTCATGTGCCACTACTGAAATTTCTATTCTATTATCCACACAGTCAGCAAGTGACATGGCAGAGACTTCTTTAAATACTGGAGACAAAAAGAATGAAAATGAAACAAAACAAAACAAAAAAACACCCCAATATCTCCTAACACTTGCAGACTGGCTCTGAGCTGGGAACCTCCTTTGATTTTTAGCTAGACCTCCTACGACTCTGCTTTAACTTTCACTACCTCCTCACATGGAACACAAAGATCAACAAGTGGTACAAACCAACTCAAGTCTTTTCCAAACATCTCTGGCCCTGGGCATACTCTGGATTTCCAGGTAGGTGTGTGCAGTGGTCCTTCAAAGCTCCTATTCCTTGAAATGTCTTCCTCCTCAGTCTCCTCCCTTCCAGACTTTTTGGTCTGTGTGGAGCTTGTCCCATCTGTGCTCCCTTGGCCCAGTGGCAACAAGTATATGTCTTTAAATTTCTCTAGTAGATAACACCTGGGTACAATCTCCTCAACCTAATACTCTGGTTGAGGATAGGCTCATTGACTGTTGGCTCATCCTTTGTATTCCTAAACACTGGAATAGTGCCTGATATTCAGTCCCTACACAATGAGTATAATTACTGCATGTAACTACAATGGCTGGGCAATACAAAGAAAGAAACAAAATAGAATATAACAAAACTAATCTCATAATCTCAATTTTCACTTTAGCACTTACGTTCTGGTTGTTTTTCATTTGGTGTTATGGATCGCACAAAATCTTGTGGAGTCATGAACACTTCAGATTCACCAGGTTCATTGATTACTTTCAAGGTGGCAAAATATCTGAAGATTTTGTCTGGCGTAGAATATGCTCTAATCCTATTCTCATATTCCATCACCTAAAATTAGAAATACAGAGTATTACTGTATTAAGCAATTCTCATTTTCATTTGTTTTCTATCTTGTTTCTGGAGATATATTATTACATCTTTTTTTCCATAACTGTATTTTTTTATATTAGATATAAACTTGAATTTCAAAACTTATGAACCTTTCCCCTCCAATATACTATTCATACTCCAGTTGAGGCAATGCTTGTATAACTTTTGTTCAGAGTTTTCTGCAAGTAATTTCCTAATTTCTTAAATCATTTAAAAAAACAAAACTGAGAAGTGTTATACAAGAACAGGGTAGCCTATAGATTCGTAAATACCAAATTTTTAAAAAGGGACTGATTTTACAGTTTTTACTTTGATGCAATTTTTTAAATCCCAAAACAAAACAGAATCGGAAATTCATAGGTTTAAATAGGTAATAGTCTTTCAAACACAAAATACATTAAGTAATAGTATTAAAAAATAAAATTACATATCATGCAAACGGTTAATAAATCTGAAGCAAGAAGACTTTTACACTTGACTATTAGATTAATATTTTACAAACACCATATTTAGGAAAAAGCAGAGCTGGGAAGAACACAATATTTGAATAGTAACAAAATAAAATATGGTACACATTTTACTAAAAGAGTATAATATTAATATGCCCATTTTTTTTTAAGATTTTATTTATTTATTTGACAGACAGAGATCACAAGTAGGCAGAGAGGCTGGCAGAGAAAGAGGAAGAAGCAGGCTCCCCACCGAGCAGAAAGCCCGATGCAGGGCTCCACCCCAGGACCCTGAGATCATGACCTGAGCCAAAGGCAGAGGCTTTAACCCACTGAGCCACCCAGGCGCCCCAATATGCCCATTTTTTAACCTGGCATCCAAGTTATGATTCTGTGCATGGAACATACAAAACACTATACCTTCTATATAATATTCTTTTCCAAATATAAGAATGAGAGAAATCTTTTTTAACAGAATACTGACTACATAGTATTCTGGTGCAAAGATTTTTCTCGTACCTGAATTCTAGATATTGAGGTGGTAAAAATAAATAATATCTTATAAATAACTGGTGGGAAATGTGTCAAGGCAATACGATCTAAATATCTAATAGTTCAATGTCTAAAAGTCATTTGCTAATATTATGAAAAAATGTTTTTAATTTGCCATATTAGTACAACTAACACCGTAACTGCCAGTTCTGGCTAACTGGTCATTTTGAGGTCACTGACAACAGCTATTATGGTGGTCTTAATCCCACTACTAGATGTATATTCAGTGACTATGAAAGGACTGCTAATTTGTATCTATACATGACAGGAAATCTTTCAGTGCTAATTTGCATTAAAATCTGAGTGCTGACTTCAGAGATTTTATCAAAATATTTGGCATGTGGCAAATACACTAAGGAGCTTTTCAACACTTTAGCGGCTTTAAACTCAGCTAGGAGTCTTAACTCAAAGGCATTTTTTATTATATTACAACTACTTGCTGGATAATACTGGCTACAGAGGAAAAAACCTTATTTAGCACATCTGTATTCTTGTTCTTTTGAACAACAGCAATAAAAACATTCAGTTTGCAATGTTTAGGATATAAGCTATAGCTACTGCAGAAGATGTTTTTCTGAACTAAAAAGTTAAGTCAATCCTATACAAGATAAAGATAGAAAGACAACACGTTAAAAGTCAGTAATTTTCAGACTCATCAGATTCCTGGGTTTTTACAAGTCCCTAAATTATGTTGCTGAATATTATTAGTTTTAGTTTAAAACAACAGGCCAAAGAACGTAATAGACTTTTTGCATTCCCAATATTAAAGTTTAATACAGACATACTGTGCAGTACATATTTTACTTTTTTTCACTTAAGTGAAAGTATACTGTATATATACTTTCACTTAAGTATATTGGAGACTGCACCATATTAAATGATATAAAGCTGCCTCCTTTTAAGTGGTTATATTCTTTTTTTTTTTTTTTAAGATTTTATTTATTTATTTGACAGAGAGCGACAAAGCGAGAGAGGGAACACAAGCAGGGGGAGTTGGAGAGGGAGAAGCAGGCTTCCCTCTGAGCAGGGAGCCCGGTGTGAGGCTCAATCCCAGGACCCTGGGATCAAGACCTGAGCCAAAGGCAGACACTTAATGACTAAGCCACCGAGGTGCCCCTGAGTGGTTATATTCAAAGGAAAGCTAGCAAACTATAAAGGGTTTAGAATACAGCATCTAAGGTAACAAAGGCTTAGAAGCTAAGATATACAGCAAACTGTAGGATTGAAATGGTTAGCCTGGGGAAAAGATTTACTAAGAGAATTATAATAGTTGCATTCAATCATTTACTTAAAACATTCTTGAACTTCATGATGTCAAGACAGTTCTCTTCAATAAAACTGCTGGTCCTGAAACCAGTTCTATGGTTTAATTTTGGTATAATGCCTAAAGAAAATCAAGGCTATAATATCCTGGGGCCAAGTGAACGCAAGTGACAGTGAATCCCTGTGGGCCCTGATATTAGAAATCTTACAAAGGCTTTGAATGAATGCTAACTGTAGCCAGACCCTGGAAAAGGCAGCAGGCAGAAAGATTTTGTAAATAAATTAGTGTCTGGCACACTTTCTCTCAAGAGGTGATTAATAAAACCTAATTTGTACCCCAACAGCTGTCCTTTATGTTAGGAACTCCCTCTCTTTTTCACCTAGTGAATTATGGGCCATCCATAATAACAATCTATCGTAAGGTGACTTCTTGAAGTTCTATGAAATTCCAGGCTCACCCAGTCTTGTTAAATAAAAAGCCAATTTTTTTTGGCAGCAAAATTAAGGAAACTCCCTAATTAGAGGAAGAAAAAGAAAAGAGAATGAAAAAGAATGAAGATAGCTTAAGGGACTTACAGCTTCAAATGGAACAAAATGTGCATCACTGGGGTCCCAGAAGGAGAAAGAATGAGAGAAAGAGGGAGAACACTTATTCAAAGAATTGATGACTGAAAACATTCCTAATCTGGGGAAAGAAACAGACATGCAGATGCAGGAAGCTCCAAGAGTTCGAAACAAAATGAATTCAAAGCAGCACATATTAAGACACTTCAGAGTTTTCCAGGAAAACAAAAAGCTGAAGCAATTCATCAACACTAGATCAATCTTACAAGAAATTTTAAAGGTAATTCCTGAGACTGAAGAGCCAGGCTAACTCAGTCAGTACAGCATGTGGCTCTTGATCTTGGGGTCCTAAGTTTGAATCACATATTGGATGTAGAGATTACTTAAATAAATGAACTTACTTAAAAAAAAAAAAAGAACATAATTCCTGAACTAAAACCAAAAGACACCAGTATCAGGAAAACAAAAATGTAAAACTCACTGGTGAAGGTAAATGTATAGTTAATTTCAGAATGCTCTAATTTTGGGGGACACCTGTGTGGCTCAGTCAGTTAAGTGTCTGCTTTCAGCACAGGTCATGATCCCGGGGTTCTGGGATCGAGTCCAGCATCGGGCTCCTGGAGCCTGCTTCTCCCCCAGCCTACCGCTCCACTTGTTAGTGCCCTCTCTCTCTCTGACAAATAAATAAATAAATGTTAAGGAAAAAAAAGAATGCTCTAATTTTGTAATGGTGGTGGATAAATCACTTCTAAGTCTAGCATGAAGATTTTTAAAAAGTATTAAAAGAATTACAATAATCTGTAACTGGATAAACAATGTAAAAACATACACCCTGTAATATTAAAAACAGAAAACACTGGGGGCAAATAAATGTAGAGCTTTTGTATACATTAGAAGTTGAACTGTTAGTAGCCTAAAATACACTGTTTAAGAGTGTTATGTAAATCCCATGGTACTTACAAAGCAGAAACCTATACCAAATACACAAAAGGTAAAAAGAAAAACAAAAACCTAAGCACACTGCTATAGAAAATGATCAAATCACAAAGGAAGAGAACAAGAGAGAAAGAAAAGGATAACACTCAGAAAACAAAATGGCAATAGTAAACCCATATCTGTCAATAACTACTTTAAGTGTAATGTAATCAAAGAAACAAAATGGCAAAAAATCCCCCCCAAAATACAAAAAAACCCACAAAAAAACCCCCACAATTTTATTGCATACAAGAGGTTCACTTCAGATTTTGGGACACACACAAACTGAAGCAAAGTTGATGGGAAAAGATATTCTATGAAAATGGGAGCCAAAGAAAGCAGGAATAGTTACTACCAAACAAAATACAGTCTACGCCAAAAACCATAACAAGACAAAGAAGAGAATAATATAATGATACAAGATCAATTCACTTCTAACTAGTTATGTGCCTAAATATATAAAGCAAATGTGAACAGAACTGAAGGGAAAAATACACAGCAATACAATAACAGTAGGGGATTTGAACATCCCACTATGAACAATGGATAGACCACCCAGACAGAAAATAAATGAGGAAACACTGGACTTAAACAAAATGAATTTTAAAAGACATTTACAGAATATTCCATTCAATTGCAGCAGGATACATATTATTCTCAAGCACACATGGAACATTCTCCAGGAGAGATCACATTAGGCCACAAGTCATAATAAATTTAAGAAGACTGAAATCATATTGAACATATTTTCTGACCATAATGCTAAGCAACTCACAATTACAAGAAGAATACTGGGAAATTTAAAAATGCATGGGTATTAAACAACATGCTCCTGAAAAACCAATAGGTCAACAAAGAAAAAGAAAAATTTAAAAACGTCTTGAAACAAACAAAAATGGAAACACAACATACCAAACCTTACAGAATGTAGCAAAAAACATTTCTAAGAGAGAAATTCATAGCAATAAACATCTATATTTTAAAAAATAAAAATCTCAGGGAACCTGAGTGGCTCAGTCGGTTAAGAGTCTGCCTTCAGCTCAGGTGATGATCCTGGAGTCCTGGGATCGAGCCCCCCATCGGGATGCCTGCTTGGCAGGGAGTCTGCTTCACCTTCTGCCCGCTGCTCCCCCTGCTTGTACTCTCTCTCGCTCT